AACACTGAAAAATGCAAGGTTCTCCACCTAGGGAGGAAAAACCTGCAGCATCCTTATAGGCTCGGCAGTGCTATGATGGTTAGCACTACAGATGAAAGGGACTTGGGGGTCATGATTGACCACAAGATGAACATGAGCCTTCAAATGTGATGTTGCGGATAGTAAAGTGAGCAAAACGCTGGCTTGCATCAATAGATGCTTCTCAAGCAAATCCTGGGACGTCATTCTCCCCTTGTACTTGGCCTTGGTGTACTGCATCCAGTTTTGGGCTCCACAATTCAAAAAGGATGTAGAGGAGCTTGAGAGGGTGCAGAGGAGAGCCACGCGCACGATCAGAGGTCAGGAAAACACTCTATGATGACAGGCTGAGAGCCATGGGGCTCTTTAGCCTGGAAAAGTGCAGGCTCAGGGGTGATCTGGTGGCCACCTATAAATTATCAGGGGTGCTCATCAGGATCTGGGGGAATGTCTGTTCACCAGAGTGCCCCAAAGGATGACAAGATCAAACGGTCACAAACTCCACCATGACCGATTCAGGCTGGACGTAAAGAAGAACTTCTTTACTGTCGGAGCCCCCAAGGTTTGGAATAGACTGCCGCCAGAGGCAGTTCAAGCACCCGCTTTGAACACCTTCAAGACACATTTGGATGCGTATCTTGCTGGGATCCTATGATCCCTGCTGACTTCCTGCCCCTGGGGCAAGGGGCTAGACTCGATGATCCTCTGGGGTCCCTTCCAGCCTGAATGTCTATGAAATCTATCTATCAAAGGCTCTACTACAGTTGAACACAGTTTGCATTCTAGCAACACAGTCAGAAGTTGACTGCAAATAGACATACACCCTTCCTTCGAGTGCCATTAATTTACCAAGAATAATGCTTACCATGGTCACTAAATAGTAGCTGCTTCCATTTTTGCCTTTCTGCCTCCGAAGCCTTAAAACCCAACACAGATTTCAGTTCTTGTAATACTCTTTTAGACTCTTCCCTCTCATGTCTTTGTCTCTCCCTCTCTTCCTGGGAAAAGCAGTAAAAGTCATCTGTTCTGTATTCACTGTCCATATCTGTATCTTCAACATATGCTTCCAATTCCTGAGGAAAAAGAATAAAGTTGTTTTTTTCACCTCAAGAGTCCCCATGGCCCAGTTCTAAGAGTTGCTGTATAATCTTTAGCTTCCAGATGAGGTCATGCTAGACAAGTCTAATCTGCTTCTGCAGTATTTCCAAGGTAGCACTCTGCTTATCTGCTCCTGGTCTGCCAAGCTCAGAAATGAGGTACTGAAGATGTCCTGAGAGCACCCCCTGGAGCCACTCCCAGGCATGCTGGAGACAAATATCCTGAGACCAGATGCAGGGGTGCACTCAGAATGGTTTTACAGCCTCATTTCTGAGTTTAGTGGAGCAGGAGTGGATGGGTGGGCTGCGCTTTGCTGCAGCGCTCTCAAGAACCCTGTGTATGCAAAAGAATCATGTCTTTAAGGTGAAAGAAAACAACCCAAAACCGGTTTTGATAAAGCATAACTTAATTGTCCCAAAGTGAAGAAATTATATAAACCCTCTAAGACTACATAGGACAGGGCTGTCCAACTTCTGGGTGGCCAGGGGCTGCATGCTGTGCAAGCTGCGGATCAAGGGCTGGTGGGGCCCTAAGCTAGGGATTCCCAACCTGTCTATACCATGGCCCACCAAATTGTGGACTGGAAGCGGCTGCAGCCCGGCAAACTGTGGACCACCACATGAAGGCCCATGGCTGGAATTTCCAGCCAGAACACAGGTAAAGATACCTCCACCCCGCAGCCGGAGGGGGTGTGCCCAAACCTCAATTGCAGCTGCTGTAGGCCCTGTGGGAGGAGTCACAGCCTCTCTGGCCAGCTCTGCAGAGCCCCAGTTTGCCGGTCCGCGGTCACTTCCGCTTAGAGGCCCCAAGCTGAAGTTTTCTTAGCTTATGCCTAAATCCGGCCCTGTGCAAATCCAAGGGATGTACGCTGTGCGGGCTACTTGCCATGTGTGTAGCTGCTCCCTGACGTGTGTTGTATAGGCAGAATGGCTGTCCCTGCTGCACATGCAACGTAGGCAGCTTGGTCTCCTCCCTGAGATCCCTCACACAATTCTGCTCTGCCCCAGAAGCCAGAAGAGGGAGCTGGAGCCTAGAGATCCCAGCCACTGAAGCAGCAGGAGCAATGGGGGGAGTGGTGGCCAGGAAGGAGCCTGCAGGTTAATATGCAGCCAGAATGTTAACTTCTATTGGCTGTATGTGGCCTGTGGCCCACCAGTTGGACAGCTATGACTTAGGGTAGAACAAATAAGAATCCTTTATCACCTTCCTTTTCTTTGGTTGCCTTTATTTGTTTCCTGGCTGGCACATGAAGCAGCTAGATTCCAAATGAATTTCTTTGTTAAGTTCTTTGTTCTGGGGCGGGGAGTTCCAGCATATATTTCAATACTAGTTCTATGCACCGCATATGCTGATGGAATCTCTCACAAGTCCACTTAAGAAATGTATCATTAGCTGCCCACCATGCCTGCCTTATTGAGTAAGGTAAGATCAGTGCCTGAGCAGCTGAAAATGAAATGGACAAGAAAAACATCAGTACTAAGAAAACCCCATATATAATATTTTGAAAGCTTCTATTTATTCTTACCTGCTCTTCAGGGACTGGGTCTTTGTCCTCTATGTGCAGGGTGGACTCTAGTAAAGGTAGCATGGTACAGTGTGTGTTATCAAAAGTTACTTCAGGTTTACCTTGAGGAAATAAATAAAGATGGATGAAGTGCTGAAATGAATAAGCAATCGAACTTCAGTAGTTCAGTGTGGTACTGCCTGCCGCAGAATAACTCGAATGTAACTTAAACAAAAAACACACTTTTACTTTTCTGAGCAACTTATAAGAACTAGCTTACTAAAAGTTTGACGATACCCTTCAAGAATTATTAGGAACTTGGCAGACATTTTACATTACTTTACATTAAGTTCAGAGCATTGACGGGTTTGCCATGTTTTTTTTTTCCAGTTATCTGAATCGTAAGAATTGACAAAGTTTGAAATGAAATACATGTAGAGGTTAACAAGAATTTCCTCTATATCCTTTATATTTGGAATGCTTGCTCAATAGGAGTGCTGGTCCAAAGCAGATGCCACTCCTTAGATGTGCCCACAGTTCTGCACTTAATGTATTACCACTGCACAGGTATGCAGAATGCACTTTTACAAATACGGTGAGATTCTTTTGCACCTGAATACATCAATTAATGCGTTTAAACTTGACTTATGACAGTCAGTAGAAAGAAAAATACATTTTCACGTTAACTTCAATTCACTGCATTTCCTTCTGGCAATGAAAGATTGGAGTAAATTTGGGGCCTAGACATTCTAAAGATGAATGGAATAGAAATGCCTAAGATAGTAGAATTAATTTATAGAAGTGGTCACTGTGGTAAATCATAAGGCCCTTTTGTCCCACAACTAATCATGTTCTCCTGAAAAAAAATAATTACGTTCCTATTCCTTTAAGTTTAGAAGATAACCTGAAGAGTGAGATGTGAATTACGCCCCAAGAGATGACAAGATCAAACGGCCACAAACTCCACCATTACCGTTTCAGGCTGGACATAAGGAAGAACTTCTTTACTGTCCGAACCCCCAAGATTTGGAATAGACTGCTGCCAGAGGTGGTTCAATGACCTACTCTGAACGCCTTCAAGAGACATTTGGATGTTTATCTTGCTGGGATCCTATGACTCCTGCAGACTTCCTGCCCCTGGGGCAGGGGGCTGGACTCGAAGATCTTCCAAGGTCCCTTCCAGTCCTAAAGTCTATGAAATCTATGAATGTAATCAATGTAATTCCAACCTCCTGAGTCTGCAGTGTGGACCAAAAGAACTAAGATGACAGCTGGTTTTTTTCATGTCAATGGGAAGCTATTGCTGAAGTTTAATGCATGACAACATAAATGACAACAGTGTTAGCTATTTCATTGCTGATCAGTTTGGGATAAAATTATGCTGTATGCTTATGCCAAAAAACCCTGAAAATGCTTCTTGTACATCTTCAAGCACCAAAAGCTGCTGCTACTATCTAGCAGGCCATGGTCAATCCTTTCGATCTTGGTGTACATGTAAGAGGTCTAGTCAGGTCCCTGATGAACCTGCTTGTACCAAGTCCTGTAATCATCACACCAAGACCTTCAACATACATGCCGAGGAAAGAGTATGGAGGAGTGGAGACTGCCCAAGATGTAACCATCCCCCCCTTATGACCACTGACACAGAATCCAAAGGCCAGACTGAGTCCAGATAGTCAGTGCCTCAGTAGTTGTAGCTTCTGCCAGACAGCAACAGATGAGAACTGCTGCTGACTGCCTAATGCCTAAGCAAGGGCAGACTTCTGTCAGAGTGATGCCCGTTAGCTTTTTTCCAACCAAGGAGTAGCCACAAGACAGCGGGGGCTAGGGTTGATGCTGCTACCATCTAGTCAGTTGCTAAAAGCATCAATTTGTTCCCTGGACCTTTTATGTAATATAGTTACACATTCTCAGTTTATATGATGAAGTTAGCTGTCCCCTACAAAAGCTCATGCTTCTCTGAATTGGCTAGTCTCTAAAGCCCCTGGCGAGTGTTACAATTGTTAATCATGCAATAAACTGTAACGTGTCACAATGTTCAAACAATATACCACCTGATAACAAAGCTGAAAAAATGGTGATCCAGCCTCAAAGATGTTATTTGTAAAATATACACTATCTTTGCAGCTTGTATGTATCACACTTTAATTTGAACTTGTGGCATGTTATTAAGGTGATAGTGCTTAAGCAGGTTCTCCAGCATCCCAGGATGGACTGCTCCCTGCCCCTTCCCCCACTTTCTGCAAGGGACATAATTCTGCTGCCACAGACCACAGAGGCAAGAGATGTCATGACTCACCCCCTTCCTCCCTTTCTCCAACCAGCTTTCAAGGCTGCTTCTTTAAGAAGCCATTTAGCACCTCTCCATGAAAGCCAGAGTGTAAACAAACATTCAAGTAACATATTTAACTTGTCTGACAGGTGAGAGATGGGAAAAAGCACCTCATGAGGTTGCTGGAGAGTTCAAGCCCTGGGGTTGCTGCCCTTCACTGCTTGCACTTCTCATAGATCTCTTAGACCTGCACAAGGGTCAGGTGAGCAGCTCCTTCCCGCAGGAGGAACCTAGCTGACTTCTCAATCTCAGCACAGCTAAAGGCAGGGATGATAGCCCCTGTCAGCAGCTCTCCAGCTCCAGTTGCTGGAGAGAGCTGACAGAGCAAATTCCTAAGGCACATCTTCCTCTCTGGATAACTTACCCTGTGGATGTGAAGCAGGGCACATGGCACAATGTTTCCAATGAGTGATATTACCAGTTACTTGATGGAAAGGACATTTGTCAGGGGCACAGGGTGCCATCCTACCTTACCTTCTGCCTGATTTTGGATTAACATGGCTAACTACATCTCTAAAATTTATAAATCTATATGCCGGAAAATAAAACTGTGACTGGGGCATAAAACCAAATGGGAATATGCATCAACAAACAGCAGTGGTCACTGTACCTGCTGTATAATATAGCTTTGTAGCCAATTTATTTAAAAAATGGGGGGGTTAAATTTTATTTTTAAACTGCTACAGTTGCTGAATTTCTTGTCTGATGGATTCAAACATTGCAAAATCCAGGAAGTTAACAGCAGAGCATTATGGTCTTGCTTATAAATACCTAAAACAGATGTATATATCTGCAAGAATTCAGAGAAACAAAGTTCATGCAATGCCTTAGCTAACCCTAAATAAGCTATTCCATTTTGTATAAGGAGAAGCAGATGATTGGAGGTCCAGAATGTGAAGACTCAAGTACTGAATCTGTTGTATAAGAAAGGGATATGGGGAGAGAGAGCAGTCCATTAAAAGGTTTAGAATAAGCTTTAGAGTAAGAATAAGCCAATGAGTTTCAATGAATCAATCACTGATATATTTTAGTAGAAATGAATTTTCCTGCAGGTAATAAAAAAACACCACTTCCTCTCAGGGGCTGTTAAACATCTGACAGCATCAGTGATTAATAAAACTAGTCCTATTAAAAGACCAGCAGGAATGATCAGAGAAGAAGCTGGAGAATTTTTGTAATAATTATCACACAAGATAACTTACATTGGCATCAGCATCCATACAGAGCTGATAAGAATACATATGAAGAATGATATTCAATCAGACAGGTTTAACAACAGACACATTGATGAGAAGGATAAAACTTAGTAGGTACCATATACAAGTATAGGAAATATAGTATTTAGGACAGGAAGCATGTAGTCAGTTCAATGAAATCTAGCAAGGGCCAATTAACTGAATCTGCTCCACGCACAAGCTGATGCACCTGGCACTGCACTGCATGCATTTGCATAAATGGCAAAATGCAACTCAGTGCTGAGAAAGTGGCGACGGTGCACTTTTGAACTAAAACATCTTCTATGTGTTTTAGTTCGAAAGTGTGCTGCTGCCATTTTCTCAGTGCTGATGTGCATTTCATTATTTATACACATACAAATGCTGCAAGCAAGCATGTATATAAATGCCCTTATTTACAAACCTCTGACTGCCCCCCACCTACACTGCTGTGACTTGCCACTAGAGAGCTGGTGAGCCAGGACAAGCTTCTATCTCTGCTCTATGGAGGAGAGGGATGAGGGGAGGGGATCCTGGGATACTGGAGGACTTCAGCTTAGGCAGCACATCTGTAGGGAATAGCTACACCTTAATGAAACAGGAGTTGGGTGGTGGGGATCAGAGATAATCCTGCTCTGGTGTGGTGTAACTTTGAGCTGCATAATGGCTAGGGACAGACATTCAAAAAGCCTGAGCCTGAATCGATTCAATCTTTGCAGGTTATTATAACTTGGTTAGGCTTAACTGGTTTGTAACTGGACACATGCCTGCATTGGCTCGAGCTAGAAGCCAGGGGTGCTAGAGCAACCCTGCTGAGCTGAAGGGGACATGGCTAGGCCCCGGTAGGACGTTCTGATTAGAAAGGTCTGCCTGCACCATCCCAGGCTTTGCCCCACTCACTGCTCAAGGGGTGGGAGTGTTGCCAGCCCCCAGCCCCCTGCTAGCACTCTGAAGCAAGGGTGTGTGTGCAGTGCATGCATCTGTTGATGATACGGAGCTTTTCAATCTCCCTACTTCTTTATAGTGTCTGTAGCAAACTGACAGGTAAGTGAGCCAGCAGGGAGCTGATAGTAGTGTTTATCACCCCATCAGCAAAACAACAGCCTCTCTTCATTAGTTAAAACTCTTCTTAAACAGCTTACCAAATAACCTGTTGATTATCTCCAAAAAGCTTAAGCGGTCACTGTTCTGTCTGCCTGTCCCAGTGAAATTGGAGACACACACACAGACACCTAGCATACCACATGCCTAGGGTCTGTAGGGCTGGGGTCCATGCTGTGGGAGATGGGAGGGAGGAAGGGGGTATTCCTACTTCAGCAGCAAGGGGGGTGGGAGGGTAGGGCAGGGAGAAGCCAGGCACACCCTGATGTGCCTACAGTCTCTGCCAGAGCTCCAGCCAGGGAGTGAAGGGGTGGGGGCAGCCCTGCTGTGGAGCAGAAAGCCCCACCCAACTCAGACAGCATGCCAGGATGCTGGGGGTGTCTGGTTTATTTTAAACCAGCAAGGGGTCTGGGATAAACATTGCATAAACTAGTTTGAGCCAAATCAGCTAAGTCTGATACTACATTCAACCAGGTTTATCTCAAACCTGTTTCAGCCATTTTCAAACTGGTTTATGTGCATTGACCATCTGTTCTGTTACAGGTTTAAACTAGTTTCTGATCACTTACACCAGTTTATGTGTAATGTCTGTCCCTAGCCCATGATTGCTTAACACCACTTTAAAGTGTTACTGGGAAGACAATCCAGGGGTTAAGAGCTCTAGGAGCTGCCCAAAACTACCATGTAACAAGGCCCTATGTGTTGACACAGGAATCCATACAGTTAAATACCAAACATAAGGATATGCAGAACTAGACAGATGAAAGGCAGCCATCTAGGGTTCCATATTTAAGATAATAGAGAGTCCCACATGACATTTTCATAATTGGCTGAGACTAAGTGTATAACACTCTTCACTATGTTCCAGGTTAACATGGGGCCCTCTCCTCCACAACAGTCAACCAGCAGTCTCCTTTAAACAGTGTACTCATTACGAAACCAGAGAAGAGACAACCACATGCTGATATGCTAGCCAGGCAAAACAGGGATGGAGGAAGAGAACCCAAGCACTATTGCTGCCTAGGGCACCAATCTATCTAGGACTGGACCCATGGAAAAAATAAATTGAAATGTTGATTATAATTTACATTTAAAGATGGAAAAGCAAAAAACTCTAAATTCATATAACAAAACATGGCAGAACTTTACAATACATAGATGTTTGCCACTTATGCACAGTATATAAATTATAGAGTTTGTCCCCAAAGGCTGGATCTCAAGTGTCAAAAATGGTTCTCCTTCTAATACCCCCCCATAAACTGATGTTGAAAATGACTGTCCCACTGCTCCTAACACGGACAGATGTAGTTTAACATCTATTGCAGGAAAAAGTGCTAGACAGCAAAATTCAACAAGGTATTCTTTTCAACAAGTTATTTTACCATGGAGTTCTCTCCACTACCATTATCAAAAAAGGCTCATTTGGTATTCCACAAAGGATATTAAAAACAAAACACAATTTAAATAATTTCAGCAAGCAAATATCTATATATACAGGAATCACCTTTCTAAAATGTACAGGAGACATTAAAAACACAGATTATGCTAACCTGTAATAAGCGAAAGTCATATTACCCTTCAAAGAGCAATAAAGTAAAGAGGAAATGGAAACAGGACATGCCTACATGCATGGCTGATAGGTTCTTAGTTCACATAAGTTAAACCAAGCAGGAATATACCAAGAAAGTCTAAAAAAAGTCAAAACACATCATTGTTTTTTTTAAACAGCTTCCAAAAACTAAATCAGAGCATTTATTACAAAACAGATGGAAAACTAACAGATTTCCAGAAAAGTTCCAGGATAGTAACTGAAAGTGAAATATAACATACTAGACCCCCCCAAAATTACATTTTGAGTTTTGCTAAAATTGGATTTAAAATAGGAACCCCCCCCCAAAATACAAGGGGTCCTGCATTAGAATAGGCTATTAAAACTTAAAAGCAGGGTTCTCAAGCTCATCCTATTGAATTCCTCTATTTCTTTACAGAAATCAATTTGATTTACTCATCTATAAACTAGCCATACTGTCATTAAAAAACCCCCACAACTTTGCTGTCAGTTAAGTCAACCATTGTCTCTCCAAATTTTAAATAAAAATGCCTTGAAATAAAACTCTCCCCCTACCCCTGCGCCAAAACAAGTTGCATTCACAAAAGTGGACTGGAAGCATGCCAAAATCTTAGGCATCAGATTCCAGTGGCTAACTCTCTGATACTTTCTATGGAGCCTATGTTGCATATTATTTTACACATTATTTTTTACATATTATTTTATATCATCTTTTCCTTCCCAAAATAGTCTTTTTGCTTTTTTGGGAAAGTAGATGAATGGTTATCATAAGTTGATCTCTTTCATCTTGTACAATTTCAAATGTTTTTGGGGAAAGACAAGCAAGTCATTTCTCCAACTTAAGCTATTTTAGGCAATTAAAGAAATTAATCTATGACCTAATATTAAAAAAATCTGTGGGTGCACTGATCAAAATCCTGATCTTTCATCCTTCCTTGGGAAAAAAGCAGCTCACTAATAAACAATATGAGCTATATTATCAATTTGGTGCCATCTGAATTTAAGAGCCTAACAAACTTTTCAGCCCTCAGAAATAATAATTATTAATAAAGTTAAATAGAGTTCATTTCAGTTGGACACTTTGTAAAACTATAAGCAACAAGAACTTCAGCAAACAAAACTCACATATTTAGTTAACAGGGTAAATTAAATGGTTACTAGAAGATGGTTATTTAAAGTACCTTTTATGTCTGGGTTTCTTCGACCCATTTTTTCCACCTGAGAAATGGCCTCTTCCCAGCAGCTGTTGCTCGCTTGGACGTGTGGCTGAATCAACTTTAGTTTTTGTTCAAGAACCTGATATGCCTCTGTTGGTAGTTCTTGTGTCTCCTTAGAACTAACGAGTTTTTCGAGTTCATCCTCAAGAATTATTACCCTAGGTGAAGAGGATGGGAAAATATCATACTAACATATCTGAATCTGTGTTTTAAGATTTCTTCAAGTTTTACATTAATTTATACCCTGCTTTATGTTTACTTCCACCACATTACTGAACTGAGGTGTAGACCTGTGGTACCCACCCCATCCAGCCCCACAGGCTGGATGAATGGTGCTGATTCAGAGGCCAGATCAAGTTGGCCCCCAGGGTTGGTTCACAGCTAAATCATGCCCATGGATCAATTGTGAGTGCTAAATTTGACCATGGATTGATACCACCGACCAACCCCACAAGTTGGATCCAGCCATGGACTGCCCCTACCCATAACAGGGGCAGGGAAGCTCCACGCCAGAGGCAGCCATGATGCACAGGGCAACATCAACTACCTCCAATGGCGATGGCATGCAGCCCTGGTTACCCTCCTTCAGTTATGCTACTGGGGCTCCCCAAAGGTCTGGAAATGTGGTACTGGGGGAGTGGTGGCATCATTAATTACCATAATTTGAGGAGTGGAAGCTCAATGAATGCTGTCACTGTTCCCCCAATGCCAAATTGATGCACCTGTAGGGAACTTCAGGGGCTGAATGACATGGCTTCATGGGCCAGATCTGGTCTGTGGGCCACAGGTTGAGCACCGCTGGTACAGATAGATTCAGAATGCTGTCCCAATGTTTTTTAAGCAAAACTTCCACATGAAGAGATGTATGGCTCACCTCAATTTGATTATGGTAATTATTACATTTAAGATGCTCTGTGTTTATTAACTGCTGCAGTACAGTCTCCCTTACTACCTTTTGGATCCTCCCCCCGCCCATTTCCCCTCTTCCTTCCCTGCTCTGCCAGTTGTCTTCCTAATTTCCACCTTTTTACATTCTCACTGACATCCTGTCATACTTTAAGCTTCTTTCATTCCTTTGAGTCTCAGAACAGCAGAGACTTCCTATTCCTGAAGAACGGTGATTGCACCCAAAAGCTTGCAAAGAATTTTTTTCCAACTACTCATTTGGTCTAATAAAAGATCTCACGTTTACCCGAAGACCCTTGCTTGATTAATGCATTTAAAAAATATTTAACATATAATTATTCTGAGTTGAATTTTCATCTAAAATAATTGGAGTATTGTTGCAAAATAGACAAAAGACAAGCACGCTTTCAGGTGTTTTCAAAGGGAGTGAATAAAGAGATGGAGGGTTTTCCTGAATCTTGCTTTGTAAGTTCACCATTACCAAGGGGGAAGAAAATATCTGAAGATTAGTAATGTAACAATATCAGATTTCACCTAGGACAGATACACTCTGGCTTCAAAACATGACAATATAGATGGCTATCAAGCTGTAGAGTGCTGATTCCACAGGGATGGGCACCGTATCAAAATGTGTATAAAATAGAACCTTTCACTCCCAAATGAAAACTTCTAATTCCAGTCATTTCCTCCTCTGAAGATGGATATGGTATGCCCTGATAAACATTCATCTCAATCAATAAATTATGAAAGAGAACAAACTTGTTATATCTACAGTCACTTAAACTAAAAGGTAAGTTAACTGGTCAGATCTCTCTAGAGGTTTCCAAACACCTCCTAATAATGACTTCATTCCATAATTTTTCAAAATGTGCAATTTACAGAATTG